TTTGGTGGCCACATTTGGTAAAGGGCATTTAGAGTTTACAATTGTGGTCGGTGGAGTCAATTTTACGTAGATTTTGTACCATATCCACGTGTTTGGGTTTTGTGCAGCTCGGTCAGGAAACGGTTAACATCTACTACTTCGTAAGTCAACACTCTCGTAATAACGTAACGATTACGATTTTATGATTTATCAGATCCAGCAATAACTGCCAAAAGTTATCCGACGAACGAAACGAAAATGAATACGTTTGAAATGTATTGAAATGTATTGAAATGCATTGAAATGTATCGGAATGCAATGCCATCAAACGTTATGAACGTAATAATGAACATGATCGTAAATACGAAATGACATCAAATGTTATGAACATTATGATGAACGGTGCTGAGCAACACCAACGAAAAGTGTCACAAATGATGGTGCTGAGCAACACCAACGAAAACTGCCACAAATGGTGCTGAGCAACACCAACGAAAACTGCCACGAATGGTGCTGAGCAACACCAACAAAAACTGCCACGAATCGTGCTGAACAACACCAACGAAAACTGTTACGAATCGTGCTGAACAACACCAACAAAAACTGTTACGAATAAAAAGAAATGTGAACTAACAATTTGATGTATGACATTGATACAGGCAACATGGCCGCTGTTCCTCCTTTCTTCACCGTACACGACGACATGGTCATTTGCGGCATTGACAACGTCACCCTCTTCCAAGGACGCACACAAGCCGAGAGAATTGCTTACGAAATATTCTCGGACGATTTCACCACGACGATGGACAGCACCATTGACGAACTAAACGAAGAGTTCAAGACCCTCGCAGGATTGACGATTGCGCAAGGACAGATACGCTTAATGCCAGCTATCAAAAAGAACATCCGCGCATTCATCCAATGGTGCAGAGACGAGTTTTGCATGGGACGATACCCTACCACAACGCCATTCCCCGTCGTTGATGCAGCCAAACTGCTCATACGCATGAAAACACACGAACAATACGTGTATGGCTCCAAGTTGATGTCGCAACAAGCACTACCGCAAGATTTCACCAACGATGTCCAATGGGAAGATTGGTGCCCAACGTTCGAAAATTACCTTTGCACCATACCAGGAAGAGACGGTGTGCCACTAAGCTACATTGTGAGAATGAACAATGCAGGAATGCTCACCCTGCACAAAGATTTCTTGGAAATCTACATCAACATGGCACCACACGTTGGCGAAGCATACGTCATGGATAATGCCAAAGTACTAGTCCTTCTCAGCAAGTCTATCGTGGGGAATACCGAAGCTGAAGCAACCCTCCAAGCCATCAACATTGCAGGCAATGGAAGAGAAGCATTCAACCCACTACGTACCCACTATGAAGGCGAAGGGATACTAGCCAACGACATTGTCGAAGCTGAACACACCATCAAAGAACTGTTTTACGTTGGCGAAAAACCAAAAATGAACTGGTCCATGTTTGAACGAATGCTAAAGAAAGCGTATGCAGCATGCGACAAACATGAGGGGAGAGAAGTCCATTCAGACGCAATGAAACTGTGTAGCCTACAAAGCAAGGTTACAGCACCATTTCTACAACTGAACAAGACGGCAATTGATACGGAAATTGGCAAAAGACCGATGTTGATGACTTTCACGACGGCATTACGAATCTACCGAACTGCAGTGAGAGAAAAGTTTCCCCAGGGAACCAGCAATGCAACCGATAGGGGACGATACTTGGGCGAAACTAGGGCTGACAACGATCGCGACAGAAGCAGAAGCCGAAACGATGGAGGAGGCAACAAACGTCGCGACGAAGAAGAAATTACTCTGAGTAATGGAGAGAAGATCTGGTACCATCCTAGCTACCGTTTCTCTCGGACACACCTACAAGTGTTTACCAACAAACAACGTGAACGCATGGCGAGGGAAAGAGCCGCATACAGAGAAAGTCAAGGATTGCCAGCAAGAAGAGCAACAGGACAAGCCGCACAAACGCAACAAGTGGAAACGCAGCTGGCGGAATTGCGAGCCGAAGTAGCATCGATTAGATCCAACAACGTACCTGCTACAATTCCAGCCAAAGCAGCCACGCAGATATCACAAGTGACTATGGGAACGACTGGAACTACAGCAATGGGCGGACGCAACCAACAGGCAAACAACCAACAGGCAAGCGGTAGGACCTGAAACGCGATAAGTGAGATCAGACAAATCGTAAGGGTGATCTCATCCAACACAGCCGCATCCCAGCGACCAGTGCAACAACCAACACCAGGAACGACGGCGAGCAATGAAATGGATACTAACGCCGACACTTGTTGCCTTGGCAAGAACTTTGTTATCATGAGCTACACACCAAGATCGGCGGATGTGTACGCGTACGACCCAGCTCTACCACCAACCAATGTACCAATTGTATCCGGGGCGACCGCCTATGACTGCCCACAGAGCGGCAACACGTTCATATTGATATTCAACGAAGCACTTTACTATGGGAACCGGTTAGATCATTCATTGATCAACCCAAACCAAGTCCGCAAGTTCGGAATCCCCCTATGGGATAATCCGTTTGATGAGATGAGGAATATTGGCATCAAAACCAAGCCGATATTTGTTGCACTCAAGGCAAAGGGGACAAAGTTACTATTTGATTTAAGGGCCCCAACTGATCAAGAACTCGCAAATCGCCCCCACATTGATATGACAAGCAAAGTGCCTTGGAACCTAGGTACCGTACAACTTGGGAAAGTCTCAATCGTCCACGAAGACCCAATAGATGACCCAAGATCCAACGAAGCTGAATTGAGACAATTGGATCCAATCATGCAAGGAATGAACGAATGGCGCACAGTACAGCAGACAATAGTTGATGGGGAGAGATTCTTCCAACAAGTTGGACGAATGGACGATGATGCACGATTCGCAGACGTACCTGTGAGGCCGTCCTTTGTATCCACGGAACAACACACCAAAGCAACGGCAGAAAACCTATCTGAACGACAAGGAATCGGTTTGCACAGAGCACGCGCCACCTTGAGATCGACACTACAAAGGGGAACACGATCCGCCATACTACCACTGGCAAGGAGGTACCGAGCGGACCGCATGTTCCTAAGACCAAGACTGAAAGGCAAGTTCTCAACCGACACGGCCTATTTCAACCACAAGGCAAGCCAGATCTATTTCCACAAGAGCGGTTTCTACAGTTGCCATCATCTCTCAAAAGTGGACGACAAACAAGTTGGGCCGACCCTCAAGAAATTCATAGCTGACTACGGTATACCAGAGCACCTCACGATGGACGGAGCAGCGGTACAAGTGGGACGCAACACGAGCTTTATGGAAACGATCAACAGAGCCGCGATTAACTACCACATCTCCAGACCATACCGACCGGAAGAAAACCCAGCCAAAGGGGGGATCAGAGAGCTCAAGCGAC